CGGGGGGGACCCCCGGCGTGTTAGCGGGGGTGCGGGCGGGCCTCCGGCTTTCCGGGCGGGGCAGGAGCCGCTCCGGAGCTGCCCGCGCCTTCGCCCGCCCGCTCTCAGCCCCACGAACCATAGCATGGGCCGGACGAACCCAGACTGAAGCCATGCCGGTGCCGTGCCCCACCGGAGCCGGCTCTGGGCAAGGAGCCTCGTCGGAGCGGCGGCACCAGGTAGGGGATCAGGCTCTGCTGCGGGATGCTGAATCCCATCACCGTGGGCTGTCGCCTGGAGATGCGAAAGGGGACTCTGTGGCAGGGGGAGCGTCTTGCTGGAGCCGGAGCAAATGGCCGAGGCGTAAGGGAGAGGCCAAGGTGTGCGGCTGCTCCGCCGCAGCTCCTGCTCTGGGCGTGTGAGAAGCCCTCACTGGTAATTAATAATGTGAGAAGATATAAACCCACGTATTTAGCTTCTATGGTAATTTTGCAGGCAAATACACACACATGCTGTATCACCACCTTCTTGCTGCTTCCAGATTGAAATAAAATACAGGTGTAGCCAAAGCTGCTGTTTTCTCTGCACACCAAGGACCTTCCCCCCACCCCGTGGCTTTTTTCCGCCACAAAATTCAGGGCAAGTTCTCCCGTAATCGGGCAAATCAGGGTTTCCTCCGAAAGCAGGGGGGTGCCGGGGCTCCGGCCCCCGCAGGCCCTCGGGGAAGGGGAGCCCAGACGGGGCTGTGGTGGGGACGCAGCAGCCCCAGCTCCCGGGGTGCCACCCGCAGAGCCGCTGCGGGGACGGGGAGGACGAGCCGCTGGGTCGTCCCAAGGCTGCTCCGACGAGCCGAGCGGGGATGTAACCGTGCCCCGTGCCAGGCACCGGCTCTACTGGCGACCACGCTCACGTCTGCCTGCCGGGGGGCTGTGAGGGACCCCGCGGCCCCCTCGCGCTTTGCCGGGCCAGCGGGATGCAGCACCGTGGTCCAGCCCCGGCGAGCGAGCGGTGGTATGTGCTTGGTCAGTGTCTGGGCATCCTCCTCCCGAGCTGGCCAATGCCGATTATTTCCAGAGGAATTTTGAACCCCGTCCAGGACTGAAATAGTGCTCGGCTGCCCCGGGGGTTATTTATAGCCCTCAGCCGCCCGGCGTGCGGCCGCTGCACAGGCTGGGCCGTGGCTGGGCACGCCCCCGCCAGCGCGCCTTCTGGGGAGCAAAGCCCCCCGGCACGGGGACATGGGTGCCCGGAGGAAGGTGACGGGAGCAGATATCCCCCCTCAAGTGTGGGGCTTGTACGGGGGCGAGACCATCTCCCTGGGAGGTACGGAAGAGATTTACAGGGGAAAAGTAAAAAGGCAGAGGAAAACCCCGAGGGGCACACTGGAAAACACGAGGCCACACCAGCGCCAGAAGTGGATTTGATTGTCACTTTAATCCACAGACTGCTGCATGCACTGTAAACAGGATCATCAGGCAGGTTTGTTATCGGTGTTTATTTGTCTTCAATATAAAAGGTACAGGTCTGAAATGTTCACAGAAGATGCCACCATCGAGACTCAGTTAGTGGTAAATATATATATAATACATCCGAACAGCTGGGGAGAGGCCTGGGAGCGGGGCCGGGGGCTGGCGACCGGGACCACGGCTTCTCCCCGCTCCCTGCCCCGCACGGGGAGGGGACCGAGACCCTCCCTCCCTCCCCAGGGGGCTGCCCTGGCGGGGGGCGTCTCTGGTCAGCAAACCTGAAGCTGGCCCCTTCTCTGGGGCCCTCCCAGCCCTGCGGGCCCAGCCCCAGGCCGGGACACGGGCCAGGAGCCGTGGTGGACACCCCGTGCGGCTGGGGCTGGCCGCAGAGCCAAGGGGAGAAGCGGGGTGAGGAAAGCCGGGGGGCTCAGCCCCACCGCGCTGGACAAGGTACAGCGGCCGTGCAGACCATGCCGCGGGCTGAGCCTCCGGCTTTCGGGGGGCTGGCGGAGGGCAGAGAGCGAGACCCCTCCTTTGGCACTAAGAGGGTTTCAAGCGCAGGGAAGAACCTAGAGACAGCGAGAGAGGAGGCGAGCACCCCGGCAGGGCTGAAGACAAGATGCACCCTCCTGTCCCCGCTGTGGCATCGAGCCCCAGCCATGACCGCTGCACCCCCGCGGTCCCCGCACGGGAAAGGGGAGCGACGGGCTGCGGCTTTAGTGCTACCACCACACACGACACTCCTAGCTACGCCGCAGCACACCGCCCGCGGGAGGTGCTCGGAGCCGGCCGGGGGGAAGCCCGCGCCAGACGCGGCCTGTATTTGCCTTTTCACAGTCTTGCCATGTTGGGTTTTTTTTTTTAATCTTATTTACAAAGGAAAGCACAAGCATTACTTCCTGCGTGGAAGGCTGGGAAGCCTTTGGGGATTGCAGAGCCTCAGCTGGATACGACACACTGCTCCAATGTGCCGTAAAAATAAACCGGTTTTGAAGTGTTCTGGCTTGGACGCCGCGTTTCAGCGCAGGAAGATCCCCGCTCCTCCGGCTCGGGGGTTGCACAGCACAAAGCAGTGCTGTGCCCCACGCTCTCCTCCCCCAGAAGATGCCCTCGTGGGTGGGGGGGTCTCCCTGCGCTTCAGCATTTGGCCACGGCGTTGAGTCCTGTACATAAATCTTCAGGAAAATAACCGAGCTGGGTACGATCCTACAAACAGGGCGATGCCGCTGTCGCTCCCTCCTGCCGCCCGTCAGGCAGAGCTGCCGTCTGCAGGGAGCTGGCTAAGACTTTCCAAACTGTTTGTAGAAGGAACTGTTTGCAACTCTGATTCACCCAGAATAAACAGAGGCTTTAGCAAACACGGAGCTGCTATTGAGAAATAAGTTAAGGATGCTCTGTGAAACACCCCGTCTGTATTCCCTGCAAGCCGCTGCCCTAAAACCACAGGATTTTGTTAGACAGAACTCTGTAAAAACCTGTGACCACACGACACAGTGCTGAGAAAGGCCTGGCAAGGCTGCTAAGACCTACAGCGTACGCTGAAACCCACAATCCACGCCGTAAACCATCGGATAAGGAGCGAGAGGAGGGACGTGGAATGGCCTGGCTGGGGCTGCGCTGGCGAGGATGCCCCGGGGGACACACGGAGAGGGGACAGAGGGGCTGAATAAGGCACACCGAACAGATTGGGGTTAACGCCGCGTGGGTGGGAAATGAGACCCCTCCTCGCTCTTCCATGCCGGGCCGCCCCTGCCCTGCTGGCTCTGGCACGGTGGGACTGGGGACGGGGACCTGCTGGGGCTCCTGCCAAAGCATGGATGACAAAGCACAGCACCAAGGGTCAGCCAGACGGGGACCCCCCAAAAAAAAAATTTGGCAACAGTGAGAGGAGACAGGAGTGGGGTGGAGGAGATGGGGCGGCTCGGCCGGGCGCAGAGCTCCTTCCCGGTTCCCATTTCCAACCCCAGTACGGGACCCGCGGGCTCCTTCGCCCGGCTCCTGCACCTGCTCCGCAGCCAGCACCCATGCGGCCGCCCCGAGCCTCCTTTCTTCCAGCACTTGGAACGACATTATCACTGGTTGTGAATTGTATACACACTGTTTTGCACTTTTGTTTTTTTCCTATAAACCCATCAGTATTCAGACATGCATCAAAAAAATCTTCAATGGATTCTAACACTAGCTATTTACAGTCTTGTACACTACAGCATTCACTGTGCAAAAGCTAGTACCATTGCTAAAAGATACGGGTTCCCAGGACAGGTGAACCGCCGTACCTTGGGTAGTTGATGTTTCCAGGGTTTGGAGAGATTACTGTTGCTTAAATAACGAGATCTGAGAGGAGGAGGGGGATACGATGACTGGAGATGGCGGGTCCCTGCCCACATTTTCAGTGCCTCTTCCATATCTACGACCGGTGCCTTCCTCCCATGAAGAAGGCGCGAGACATCTGGGGTAAACCGAAGACCCCTGTAAACACAAGCAGCTCTCTGAAGACAGAGCTCCTCTGGCAGGCAGCGGGAGACTCCTTCGTCCTCATCTCCTAGGGATGAACACGTTTCGAGGTGGCATTGCAGGGGAGACTCAAACCCTTGGCTTCCACGGCTGCTGCCTGCTGAAAACCCCTCCGGGGACAAATTTGGGGGTGCCGAAAAAAACTGCTGAACACCACTCCGGAGACAAATTTGGGGGTGCTGAGCTCTTGCTGACCCTCCTTCGTGGATGAAAACAAAAGCCTGGGTATTCCCGGATGCAATCGGCCAGCAAACCAGTAACACGCTTGCATGGGACCCTCCTTCCACAAAGCTCTCTCCCCGGGTTTAAAGCTGATTCATGGCACAGAGGGACAGGAGGAGAAGGAGGGCGAGTGCAGCGAGCACCGGCTGATCTGCACCCTTCGTGGCTGACACCTGCGGTCGCTTCTTGCCTGCCGCGAGAGCCCGACATTCACACGCCCAGGGATCACTGCCAGCTGGGAGGGAGGGTGCGCCATCCAGTAACAGGTACAAACACTGAACTCCAGTCTCATAGCTGCCCTCGGTGCGTCTGCGGAGCAATTCTCGCTCACACAACCCCTCCTCCTAGGTTTTCTCTTCTCGGTCTGTTTTCCGCCTCGTAATGTTCCGAGGTTTGATTTTGAGGGACAGTTCCCACAAGGCCTCCTCAGCCAGGTGGTCGCTGAAATCGTTGAAGAATGACACTATGTCGTCATTTCTTTTGATGTCGTAATGTCTGGAAAACCAGAGTAGGGCGGCAGTTAAACACGGGGCGACCTGGGGACCTCTCCCAACTTCGAGCCGCCCCTGCCCTGCTCTAAGGGACGTTCAGCACTGTGGGGTCTGCATTACCTGAGCCTGATACTTGTGACTGCGGCGTGACACCAAAAAGGGGAAAACCCATCATGCCCATCGCTGAATTGGGGGAAAAAAAAAGACCCTATCACGCTGAAATCAGCAGTTAGATCTGCTGCCTCTGCTGCAATACAGCAGTGAAGAAAACCCTCCGTGATCTAAAGAACATAGGAACCAGCAACAGCAAAACCAGGAGGAAAAACTGTTGTCTGAAAGAGCAGTGGCAAAACTTTACTGCACTGGATCTCAAAAGTAATACAGGAAAAATGTCTTCACAACTTTTAGTCATAGCTAACGTAGTGAGGGAAGGAGACTGTGACCAGAGCCCCGTCGTTCCCAGGTCTCCTTACATCTCCATCACGATGCTTTCACCTCAGACTCCCTTCCCTCCCATGGGGGCTCCCGTGCCCCAGCCACCCCCCCGTGCTGCCTCGAAGCCAGCTCTGCCCCCCTGTTGCTGCACTTACACTTGTTGGAAGCACCTCATGCTGTCCAGGATGTTAAACTGCTGCCAGCGTTTGGAAAAGTTCACTTTGCTGTCAATGTAATCAGGGTTTCCCAGATGAACAAAGGTCAGGTCCTGCAGAATCAGGCCTCTGAAAGAGAGAAAGGGGCAGCAGGCCAGGGAGTAGGCAAACAAGTACAGAGGTTAGTCACACAGGCAGGACAGCCAGCAAAAAGGCAGCCACAGGCAATTTAACGGCCTCCTGCTGCTGCCACCATCGGCACTGCAACTTTAAACTAGAGGGGACGTCCCTCCCAGCAGCGGATCCAAAGGTGTTCGGGTGCAAGGCGCCCACCATGCCCAGCTGAGGGACCTCTGAGGCGAGGCACTCATGGTCACACCAAGGGCGCTGAGGTTGCTCTTTCGCCCTCCATGGAAAGGATGACCAGGCTGGAAGAAGGTGGCGATGGGAAGTGCCTGCCAGGGGTTAAACCTTCCTTCCAGCTTTAGGCAAGAGGGTTTCCCTCAAGCTGAGGTTTTTCTAGCAAGGGGGTCTGTGCTCCCTTCCTCCCTGGCTCAACCACGTCTCTGCACGGTCCTGCTGCGGTCCCCTGCCAGATGAGATGCCATGTACCTATTCAACCTCCTCCTACAGAACTCTTTCCATGGAAGAAAGCAAGAGCAGGAGAAGCTTTACTGGTGTAAACCCAGAGTAAATCTGGTATCTAGATCAGAAGGCCCTTACGGAGAAGGGCAATGGCTTCAACCTTTCATCTAGAAACAGGATGAAGCAGTGTGTTTGACAAGGCAGACTTCTCATTTATCAGCTCTTGCAGTCAGCAGAACCAGAGCTGTCGTAGAGGAGCAAGCAGCAGCTTGAAGCTGTGGGATCTGTTGCATCTCATGGGAAAACTTCTCTTTCTGCACACAGACCCCAGAGAAAATATAGTCAAAAAGCATCAACTACAGATCCAGGCACTTGATCTTTCCTTTTCCACAGTCAATTCACAAAAGCCTTCTTTACCAAAAGACAGCTGCCACCCTGCTTTCCTCTGCTACAGGACAAATTGCTCCAGAGAGGGCGCGTGGGTTGATGTGGCACATTGCCGTCTTATTCTAGATGTAGGGCAAAAGGCAAGTGCTGAGCTGAGCCGAAGCTGCTGAGAAATCCTTGAAGGAACGATTTGAACATGCAGAAGTAACGGCAGAGGAAACAAAGTACCGACTCACAGGTAAGGTATGCAGGGAGGCTCCACATCAGCAAGAGCTGCTCGGTAGGCGCGGAAGGACGAGGAACTGTCGATCAGCGTGCAGTACTCAGCCAGGCCCTGGCAGAACACAAAGCCCATGGTGACACCACTGCTGCAAACCCATTTTCTTTGTAACCTCTTCCCAGAGAGCCATGCAGGCCAGGGAGTTAATGCCATCCTGCAAACACCTCCAACCGATTTCCTCAGCCTGACCCCGAGTGCGTATACACAGAGCCTCGCTGCCTTCAGCCTCACCAAGCCTTCGATTTGCAGGGAGGAGGAGGAGGAGGAGGCTGTTCTCACCCGTGACTGCGCTGGCACTCCTGCAGCTGTCAGAATGCCCAGCCACGCTGCAGGCTTCCAGCACTGTGGCATTACACGCACTGGAGAGCGGTTATCCGCCATCCGTTGCTGAGCTGTTAAAACTACCCAGCCGTGTCACACCATTAACAGTTATCTTTTTCCCCTGAAGATGACAACCCTCGCTGCTCCTCACCTCTGAGGTTTGTTTCTGCCACTCCAGCCTTCGGATGGGTGCAGAATCCAGTGCAGAAAGAATGGCCAGATAGGAATTAAAATTATTCAGCTTCCGTAAGTGCTGTGAAGAGGGAGAATATTCCAATTACTCCGGAGGTCTGAAAAGCCTTCTAGCATCAAACAGCTCTACCAAGCAGAAGGTCCCACTCCCCTGCTCCTTTAAGGAGCAGTGTGTCTGATTCACAGCAAGAACAAAGCTCATACCTTCATAATCTTTATAAATTTAAGGAGTAGCCTCTCTCGGTCTTGGGCCTTCTCTTGTAGCATAATTATTGAACGGACCCTGGAAGAACACAGAAAAAGAAGATAAACCCACGTAAGCAGATCTCAGATTTCTTCTTGTTTCATTTAAAAAACTGATAGCTGATAAGGATGGGCCAACAATACTAAAAAGCTCATGATACCTCCAACTTAAACGGAGCACTTTAATTCACAACAAAGACAGAGTAATTTCGAGGATGACCACAATAACCCTTCACAGAGTACATTTATTCGCAAGGGGAATGTCTGTTGGAAGGGCTGAATGGTACTGAAAATAATTCCTCTGGGTTACAGTGCCCTCCATAACCCTCCCGATTTTCTTTCTCGTGTGCTCTGGGGTCTTTGATGAGTGCCCTGCATCTACTTCCGGGCCAAAAATATATGTTATCCCACTTTTAACAAGGGAACCCAATTCTGCAAGGAATATTTTGAATATTTGTAAGGCGCTGGAGGTTAAGCACAGTTCAGGGCCAGGTTTGTTCTGAGCTCCTTACCAGTAGGACATGTTATTAAAGTGCTCTGTGAACTGGGTCAGGTTGGGGCTCTTCTCTTCATTTTGCTCCTTTGCCCAAAGCAAAACTTCTGGGATCTGCCGAGGAAGAAGAGGAGAGGGGTGGGAAAATACCACACATTAAAATGGGATTTCTGCCTCAAGATTCCCAGTCGCAGTCTGTGCTCACAGCCACTTGCTGACACAAGTTCAGCTGTCTCCTACAACGCAACAGATGCGCTTGGAGAGCTGGCAGGGCATACCAGGGATTGCAGAGGGTATGTGGTCGAATCCCTCCCACCGCCCTTACCCCATCCTCATCCCCGTACCTCAATTTTATAGAAGAGTTCGGCGTCTAGGAGGGTCAGCTGCTCGGCTATTTCATGACTGTGGAAATCATGCAGGGTCCCTGGCCTGTAGGAAACAAGGATGAAGTATAAAGGCTCAGAAAATGTGACCTGGTTTTCTTTTTCTTTCTTACATTTTGGACTGAAAAAACTCTTGTGTCCACAAGAAAGGGATGCCCTGCCTTTCAAAGGACCAAGATATGGCTACGTGCATCTTTCCTCACCTGGCTGCCACCCCACGGGCTGCAAGAGGTTTGATGGAATTGGCGTAGCTCAGCATTTTCTTCTGATCCACTTTATCAAGGATATTCTTGCGTAACACTCTGGCGAGGCTCAGCTCTCCGTTGCAGACCAGTCGGAAGACCAGGTCCATCAGCAGCTTGAGAATTTCCTCCGTCAGCTCCACTAAGCTGAGTGAAAGATGGAAAACCCAGGGAAGGCATCAGAGCTACGACTCTGAGCTAGAGAGTTTGTATCTGTACAAAGTCTTGTTGCTCTTTCCCACAAGCAGAACCGAGTGACTGAAATTCCTCCCCTTCCCAGCTCTTCCGTTTTTACAGATTCCCCTTTTACTAGTTATTTTAAAATCCCTGACAGGCACAGGACACACCGAGAAACTGCTGAAGAAGAGGGTTCAGCACTACAGGTGTCTCCCTGGTCAGGGTAGGGGATTTCAGCTGTCATCATAGATGAGAATTAAACAATACATCTTCGTAACTGCCAGACTTCTGTATTGTTACTGACCCCGCATCTCCCATCCTGAAGCGAAGAACGCAACTCACCACAGCTCATCCACCACTCTGACCAGCACGAAGAAGGTGTTCTTACTGACTCGCTTCTTAAACGTGTCTGGGAAGTGGCAAAACTTCTCATATGTGGTTGCAAATTAAAGAATCAACTGAGTGTGGTCAGATCAGCATCAGTGCAACTAACAGCTGCCTTGAGGAACATTAGAATAGCTGCTATTCGGTCTTGACTGAAACTGGTGTTCAATTTCCAGGAAATAAGGGACGCCAATATGGCTCTAATTAACATGGTATTAAGCTGCCACCAGCTGCAGGCAGGAGGGGTGTGAGGAGGTACTTACACCTTGCAGAACTGACGCTAGAAGAGCAGGTGTACCCTGAAACTGTTCTCTCTAAGGTGGAATTTAATGAGCAGCACTCCTCTACTGGGATCTCCCCCACTGGTCTGTGACATCTGGTCTCAACAGATCTCAGATGTCACCTCTACCTTCCTCACTGCCCAATTTGCTGCAAGGGGAATGGCGGCAGGGAAGACGGCACAGGTTGAAAAAGCTTCTGCCAGGTGGACAAAGG